CTGTTCGTTAGGTTGCGCTTTTTGACGGTCATACCTGAATGTTTGTCATTATGAGTGTTTGTTTTATATAAAGTATTTTATTGATGTATTGAAATCATCATAGCGCCTTCATTTCGTTGAATTTCCCGCTCGAAGTTGGAGCAAATCGGGGGTTTTGGCACTGGCTTTCGAATGGTCCAATCAGAGCGACTACTTTTGAGCCCAAGAGGGCGATTTCGATTGTCAAAAATGTCTTGAGAATATAATGAGAAGTCATGTCAACTCTCCTCTAGGTCGCGCACTTTTAGTGACACGGAGGGAGTAACGTTAAGTTAATTGGTCACAACGATCATTTTTATCGACTTCAAAAATGCAGAAGTACCAAGTTCCCAGCGACTCAAACAACTCGTACCACCATCAGCTTAGTGCTCATGTCAGCAGTTCATCGCACTCTCGAGTACACTCACTAGCATTTTTCCTTAGTGCTTATTGAAGTCGACATTGAATGACGAATGGTCGATGCGAATTTCTCGTTAGGAAGGACCAGCAGTATCACTACAACTTCATGGTTTCGGTGGACTGGGGCCAACACCCAAGGTCCTTCCAAGTCAAAATGAGGAAGTGATTGGTAAAACTACCGTCAGTAAGAATCATATTATCGGGGCATAGTCAAAAATTTGACCAAATCAAGTCGTTTGCCCGCGACGTTTCGGGGTTTCAGGTTCAACGAGTAAATTGCTGTAAACGACCTATTTACAGTACCAGTAGTTGACGAGCTTGGTCCATGTGATTAAGATGCAAAACTAGTAAGACGACCAAAGTCGGGGGCATGTGAGACGGCACCCGAGCCCAGCACTTCCACCAGAGCGCCCACTACGCTAAGAACAACCACTACCTATGCTGCGACAAGACGAGGACCAAGTCGTACTGCATGACCATCGCCCAGGCTCAAGGGTGCGGATAGGAGCAAGGGATCGCATTCTAGTACTGTAGCTCACAATCCAAAACCTGCAGCCTACAGCTAGCAATGTAGCAATGAGAATAGAACGATCCTATTGGCCAGTTATTTTCACTTTTCTATCATATAATTGGCCAGAAATTTGGTAAGGCTGCCTGCCTTACGAATTCATCAATAAGATGCGTTTAAAGGAATTTAAATTATTCCATACAAAGATGCAGCTTCATTTAATACAATTTGAACTATTTCAGATCTTACGAATTCTGTATTATGGAGGGTATGGAAATATATCGAATGTTGGGCGAACACAACGCACATGATGTGAATCAGTTGTGCGTCTGACGAAATATACCAAAAATAACCTGAACTTACAGTTAAACCAAAAATGAACATTTTTCAGGGTTATTCCCTTATCCCGACATAGTGGCTCCTGTACATCACCACAGTTACTTGCACGTTAAACTCACAAACAAGTACACTGTCGACAACGCATCAACCACATGAAGTTAGCACAGTCAAGTGTGCTGGCGTGGAATAGATAAAATAGTCGGTTAAAGGATGCTGCACCCGCCAAACTTTCGCGCCGTCTTCTTGGGGTTCTTGTGGTGC